CCTAGCACCCACATAAAAGCCAGATATGGCCACATAGGCCTATGCTCCTAGCATGGGGCAGCAACAGAAACAGGAGGATTGCTGGGACTTACTAGACAGCCAACCTACCTGAAATGCAACAAGCTCCAGGGTCAGTGACACACACTGTCAGGAGGGTCTAAGGCTGAGATGATGAAGCTGGCATTGGATGTACCTCTCTGGCTTCCAAGAAGGCCTGTGCCTCCCACATCCCCCTCACATGTATCACATGTTGTATGTGAATGTATGAAAACGTTTAGGGATGACCTGGGCTCTATGCTACTACATAGGGGCTGCTGCTTCTATTTTTTCTCTCTTCCTTTAATAAAGCTGTTTGCTTCTCACACTTGATCATTGATTATAAAGTTTGGAATTGAAGAAAAACTGAATGCACAGGACTTTGTCTCAGTCAAACTTGCTGAAAAGTCATCTTCACGCTCTTTTCCTGGTGGAATGGTTTAGTTCTGGAAACCCGAAAACAGGGTGAGAAAACAAGAGGTACCGGGGCTTCTAAAGCCACTATTTTAGAGAGATAATAAATATCTAAAATGCTACTGACAATACAGTTGGTTTATTTTAAACATTCATTAGAGTCGTAAGTTTTTTTTTAATTATAAAATTTATATGGACTGCATAGATTTTTAAGAATTGTCATGCAAAACACTTTCTTGATAGTCAGCATAACAAAAAATAAGTATATAACAATATCCTCAGAATATTTCTAACATGAACTTTACTAGATAAACTTAAAATGCAAATTTAAAGGATCAACCTTAGGATTAGCCTGTAGGCTGAGAAACTTCACAAGATTTCTGAATTTTAGCTCATATAAAATATGCATGAGTTTTATCAGCACTGAGATGTGCTGATTTTGTTAGGATAATTGCTGACAGATAATACATTTTGTTCTAAGTGATGCTGAGATCAGATATTTTAATACCTAAATTTGTTGTGTATGTGGACTGTAAAATTATCAGGAGTTTGTTTCTGAGATGATTACTTATGTTTTCTACTAATTTTTGTCAAGTTTTTGCCTACTTAGGGAACCATGTCTAACAAAATTGAGGTTCATTTAAGTTTTTGTTTATGTTGGCATCTTTTAAATGGCCACTTTTCAAGCAACTATCTTAAAATAGTTGTATTTTATTTTATTTCCTATGACTGGAAACATATAAAACTCTATGTCTAAACTTTATATATTTTGCAAAAGTTTGACATGTAAGTTTGTTTGTTTGTTTTTGGGAGAAGGTTTCACTTTGTAGTGTTGACTGGCCTATAACTTGCTATGTAGCCCAGATTAGTTCAGAGATCCATCTGCCTCTGCCTACTAAGTGCTGAGATTAAAGGTGTGTACCAGCATGCTGGTAATATGTAAGTTTAATACATGCAAAAAATACATGCTATTTATTCAGTATGCATCATGTTTAGACTGTCAACATATCAAATGAACAATAAATTCTTTTGACATTTCTGCTTTTTAAAAATCAGTACCAGTAAGACTCAAAACCTACCATTTGAGTAATCTTGCTACTTCAGACCTTGGGAATAACTTTAGAAGTAGGTGTCTGGATTTTCATGGTGGAAATGGGTTATATGTATCTTCCAGTCTCAATTGATCTACTAAATGATGTTTGGGTTACTTCTTCAGAGGGAAGGGTGTTACCGTGGTCCTGAAGGACATCAGGGCTCCGTTGAAGCCTAGCAAGACAAAACTATTTACTCCTGCTCAGAAGAATAGAATCTGCCTCCAGTCCTGAGTTAAGATAGGACATATCATTGTCATTGTCTTCTCCCTTAAGAGTTAATTTTGGGCTAGGCTCAGTAGTTAATGGTGCTTGCCTTCAAGTTTGAAGACCTGAGTTTGGTCCTATGTGATAAAAACAGAGAAGAGACTCAAATAAGTTGTCCTCTGTTCTCCACATGTGTGCAGTGCTGTATACACACGATCACTACTCTACACCATGCAAAATAAACAAATAAGTAAATGAATTAAAAATGTTATTTTAAAAAATTAATTTATCTGGGAGTATTAATCACTTGTCTAATCACCCACCCAATGGACCCTGTCTCAGAAAGACTAATTCACCTGAAGCCACGCTGAAGAGATGAGAGGAATAATTATTGCTTCCATGATACAATGGACTCTTCAGTTCCAGAGAAGGATAGTGGCCAACTTCCAGGCTTTCTCACTCTTTCTCAGAAGGAACCCCAGTCCCTTCCACTTTACCTGCTCGTCCGCCGTGGGGTTGTCTGCTGAACCCTGTTGCTGAACGTGGATGTCTAACTCAAAAGCATGGCTTCTCTCTTCCTGTTCTCCAACTCTCTTTTCTGGGCAGCTGCTAAGATCCCCAGCTTAACGCCCCCATTGCTTTTCTTTTAACCTCCTATCAATTTGATTTCTCCAGCTTCCTTCTTATTAATGTGACTAAGAACCCAGGGAACCATAATTTCCTTGGTAACATATGGCAACCCAGATAGGATTTCCTAAATTTTCTGGTAATTCTAATTCTGGTAGTTTCTAACTGTTGTTGGCTCTTTTATATGTATTTCTGCCTCTTGTATTATATAAATCCTCTGTTAGATTTCTGAGGCGGTGTATAAAGACAGAACGTAGAAAGGGACCAGAGTCTGACCTCAGCAAATGACACTGTTAATTTTAAACAAGGAAGCACATGGGATGGAGGTCCTGTGGAGAGAAAAACCTAGCTGAGACCCTTTATGGAGGTATGGGGGTTCTGGAAATGAGGAAGCAGATACAGCTTTGGGGGCTACCTGTGGGTCTCTCTGTGGTCTCTCTTTCCTGGAACTGTCAGCTTCAGGCAAGCCCATTTATCTTGGGAGAAAGGCCGTTGCTGCCAACTGTCCTTGCTGGGCTGAGCAAGGTCAGCTGCCATCTCATAGGGGCCCTGGTCTTACAAGGCAGCCTATCACCTTCTCCCACGCAAAGCACAGGAGCACACTTCTGATATTCAAGCTGAAACTGTTGGTGGGGGGTACGAAGCGTTTGCAGGCCTGTGTTTACGTGTTCCCACTTGTAGTATGATTAATCACACGAAGCATGTAGAGTGAGACAGGCCCTAACGTTGTGAACTCCAAGCAGTGCCTTAGAATAAATAATTAAAAGATATCGAACACTGGCTATGTAAGAAGTACATCTGTAATCAGGTATGAATTCGTAAGAGACAATTGTGCCTGTTTCCTTGGCTATCAGTCACTGGAATTTCCCCAGAAAGCTCAAACTGGGAGAAGAAAAAGGCTAAAGCCTGGTGCCAGGCAGAGGAGGAACTTGTTTCCAGGAAAAGAGATTTCACACCTCAGGCCACCTGCGGGGAGACAACTGACAGGTCAGTTATGGGCAAAGACTCCGCTGATGGGTACTGCTTAGTGATGAATCCCAACATCATGTCAGGACCCCAGAAGATGGATGTGGTGGGTGGGTGGGGATCACAGGACCACTTTGTCCTTTTCCCAACATGGCCATGTTGACTAAATCTTCTCTCCCGGCTTTTCAGTATTGCATATCTAATTGGCATAGTGAGGACAGGTGTCTGAGCCTACCTCTTCAAGGCTGCCAGGGCCCAGGAACTGGTTCTGATGACTCTGCTCACAAACTTCTTAAATAGATCTAACAGATTTTTAGTCAATTATTAATGATTTTCCATTTAAAAAGATTGCATCACAAGCACATAGAAGTAGTTTTACTTTCTCAAATCAACCCGGGTATTCCTTTCTTTATTGTTTAATTCCGCCGGATAGAACCTGCTTGGGGGTGTTGTAAGACCAGGGCAAAGTCTTTAGTTTTTGACCGAGAGGTAACCTGCTGCCTGGGAATGCTATCATTTCAAGGCATATCCCTCTACTCCCGTTTTTAATGTCTGTTTTAAAAATGAAAACATGTTGGCTTAGTCTCATATGTTTTGTGTCCGTTGAAATGATCTATATGACTTTGACCTTCATCCTACCACACTAAATGGTGTTGAAATTCATCCAATTTTTCTACCCGGAGTTAACCTTACTGTGTAAATCCATGCTTCAGATTGTTATGTATCTTCTTGAATGATTGACCTTCGCATTTCTCTAGTATACCGTCCCCCTTCTCCCCGCTTCCAGCAATGTTAGTTCCGCCAAAGCTGACCTTGGAGTTATTCGTAAAACGAATCCCCCTTTCCGTCCACGCTCTTGGTGTGCTATCTCCTCTTCCATTCTGTTGCTTTCTATATTCCATCTTAAAGAATTTCCATTTGTAAAGGAAATCAGAAGGTTGTTCCGTAAGGCGCACTGGACAAGAGAGGATGCTAACACGGTAAGACTCAAAGGGACACACACTGTGGCCCTAGGCACAGCTTGTTTGTTGTTTTTAACATCCTTGCTTCAGCTGTCTTTAGGAAAATACATAGTAAATCTGTGGGAAATTTTGGCTCTTTTCCAAGGTTTTCTCCTTATTTATCTTATTATTTATTGTCCTATCTGCTTTATGGAATGAATACAAGTAGGCACTCCCAGATAAAGAACCTTTGACAAAACCAGTTCTGAACCCTACAGACAGTCCATGCAGACACTTCTTTTGTACAGACAGACCACAATAACGAAACGGTTAACTGCAGGTTTGGGCATTCTAGAACATTTTCTCAACTGGGTTTTCCAATACATTCACCCAACTTCCTATTTTGTTTCTTCCTTTTGCAGAAACTGTCTATGAAGTTTATGAAGACTGGGAGCCTTGTTTCTTCCATACATTATTGGCCAGGAAGTTCAGCGTTCATTATCTTCCTGGTCCTTGCCTTGCTTCCGCCTCCCTTGTCTATGAAAACCGTCTGATAGGTCTTCCAGGACAGTCCCATTTTCTCCTCATGGCTTGGTTTGGATGCTAACTCCAAGGTCAGCAACTTGTCTTTACCAACTCGCAAAGGGTGCCATGCTGCAGGTGCCCACTAGGTGTCAGTAGCGTAGCCTGCCAAGGATCTTCAGAGCAAGCATTTCATCACAAAAATCAAATCAAAGCAAATAATTAAGTGTGGATCAAGAGCTACCTGCAGCTTTGACCGGTTCAAAACAGGTGAGACAGAAGCGGGAGGTGTGGAGGATCAGGTACACTACAGGTGACTCCTAGGATCCAATAGGGCAGGAAGGATTCCCTTCCTTATTAAAGGACTTCAGTGATTCACGGAATGAGTATCCTTTCCAATTTACACTCACAAGATGAAGCCGGTGTTCAGTGAGTGAGGAAACAGCTTTGAATTAAGAGGGATTTCTCTTCGTAGATTTCTCTTCAATTCACAATCGGGTGAAGGTCCTGCAGGTAGATTCCCGTTGGAAGCCTACATTTATTTGATCGAGAAGCTGAGCTGCCTGAATTGACAGATATCACGAAGATTTGAAGGCATGTACCTGCAGAATCATCAAACTGGACTCGTTTGGGAATGACTTCTGGATTGCACATATATTACCTCTCATCTGGGTAATGCGGCTGGAAACCTGCCCTGCCTCAGATGTATGGCACACATCAGCTCCCAGGTGTATATAGTAAGAGACCCACAGGCATGGGTCTGGCATTGCATAAGGCTTTTGGTTCTTGGAGCTGGTTGCTATGGCTGATGGTCCTTGCATGTTCGGAAGCATCATCGTATGTGAATGAATCCTCAAATTCCACTGCCCAACAGGCACCTGATGCTCGGTTTGCTGCTTCCAGCTCAGACCCTGATGCAAGGATATCTGTGTTTGAACTGGATTATGACTATGTTCAAATTCCCTATGAGGTCACCCTCTGGATATTGCTTGCATCTCTTGCAAAGATCGGTAAGTGCTCAATATATATTTAAGGGGGGATTGTGTCCTACCTGAAGTATGACATATGAAACTCTCTTATAAATAGACCATGGGTTAAGTAGATATTAACTGTTACTTGTGGTGCATTAAAATTATATTCCCTGAAATCAAGAGAAAGTCATGGCTTTTTAATGCTTCAGGATTGTGTTGAAATTTAAATGCATACTTCTACGCCCTTCATTGTTTGGACTTTGTAATTCAAGAACACAACCATGTGACTTATCTGTCATGTAAAAATCTCATGCTCCATGTTTTAAAAAAAATATAAAATATAAAGTGTCCAGAGCTTGGGAAATGCCAGAGACTGAATAATATTTCTTCTTTTTTAAAATGATCTGCCTTCGTTCCTAGCCATGGACTGTGATTTGTTCCTTGTTTAGCTTTAGTTATTTATTCCTTCTAAGAGACCCAGGTTTCTTTTGAAGTGACAGGAGAAAATAACCACAGGTAACTCTCACACCCCAGCAATGTGGGGTGGGGTATATGAGACAATACCTTTTTAGTAAAAGTATAGCTTTCCTCCTAGCTCAAATGGGGCTGCTGGCCACCTCTGCTTTCCTTTGTAAACGGAAGTGAGCCGAAGCAAATGGATTAAATTCAAGTCAGGTGCTCTTCATACAGCAGCCACAGCAGTGGTTCACATTCTATGACCAATCTGCCGCCCCTTCTCTCCTGAAAACAGCTTACTCCAATGTAGAAAATCCATACAATTTTGTGAGTTACTGCATATAATGTTGCCTTTGCCTCCTCTATGATGAACTGTAGATAATTTGAGTGCACAGATTGTCTTATTGATGTAGAAACTTTCAAACATTTTTTATTTTCATATACATACATATATGCATATATATATATACATATATGTGACAGATGTGAAATGTAGATTGAGCCATGTGTAGTCTGTAGTGAATTTTTATGGGCTCTTGGCTATCTATGTAATAACTCCTTCCTTCCCGTGGACTGGGGGCCTCAGGTATACTCAGGTGCTTCTTTAAAGCAGCCTTGTATTTTAAGCTATGAAAATATTAAAATGGAATAGAAAGGGTTGGTTGGGAGAAATCTCTTGCGATTTGCTAAATGGTTAGCTTACACAAAGGATACATCATTTTAAAGGAGTATTTGAGGAAAACTGGCTCTGTAAGTCAATACTGTGCTCAGGCCAGAGCAGGGGCTAGCAACTTTCATTTAGCCAGACGAATAATGAGAATTTTCAAAGTTGTCTCCCATGATACTTTGGTGCCACTCGTAAACAATGGGGAGTATTATTTGTCTCCATTGATCCCTCTCCCACAGCTTTCCTTCCTCTGGATAGCAACAGCTGAAGTTGTCTGGGTACTTAGAACACAGACCTTTTGCTGACCAGCTGGCCCCTTTATCTATCGATAGACACCTAGAAGCAGAGGAGGGCCCAATTTATCTATTTTTTTTTTACATTTGCATAAGGTGTTGATTGTTATTTAGATGTATTGCACGTGCTCAGAATTCACTATCAGGAAATATGAGGAGACCATTGGGGACACTTTTGTTCAAGGGACTCTCAGTTAAATGTTAGTGATTTTCATGATGATGTAATTCAGTACAATTTCAGAAAGGAAAATTACTGTCAGAGATTATCAGTCGGAACATACTTATTCAAAAATGATTTTATAATGGTTAGCCTTAGGAATCTAGATAAGTCTGGACTCCATAAGCATTTGGGAAGTGAAAAGAAAAGATGTGTATTTATTAAATGCATGTTATGTGCCCAATATTGTGCCTGACATTCTGTATAATATGATGGCTTATTTACTGAGAGATAAATAGTAATAATAGTAAAGATGATGGTAACTATGGTGGTTTCTAAACTTTAACACTTAAGGAATGCCTATTAGTATTCAGATTATAAATTATGAATAATAACATAATTTTAAGCCTTATTATTGCCATCGTGTATTACTTCTCATCCTTTTGGGCACATTTGTGGAGTGCACATGCTGTACCTGGAAACAAGTGGGTTGGACCTTAAGGGACGTAGTTTAACAAGGATAAGAGGTGAACCTAGAACTCCCTGGTAGGCATTTGATGGGAAAATATCAAAATGCTCTCCATTCCTTTCAAATACCTAACTCTGAACTATAACACACAGGTACTATAGAACAAAGGTAATTCAAGTCACGTCTGGCTTTGTGAGTTATCTTTTCGTTCCATCAAACTTCTTGGAATGTTATGGGAACCGTTCCTGGACCCACTGGGAAGACTAGCATTGAAGGTTGTCTCCCATTTCCCAGGACTTTAGTGTTTCTTTCCATTTCCTTTTCAAGCACTGGGATTGTAGAAGTTTAAAGTGACTGACTTTGGGATTCTGCTGTCCTTCATGAAAGCGGACAAATGATTTAAAGTGTAACATGCATTAAGTCCTTCCTATTGCAGTGCAACAAGCATGTGTGGCCTGTTGGTGCCACAGCTCTGCAGGCCCATTTTACCTTAAGGCAGGTAGATCCATTTCACAAACCTCAGTTCAAGGGAACAGAGCCAGAATGGCAAACCATAGATCCTGAGAAAACACACAGGCTCTTCAACTTCCATGGCATAACTTAGAAGTTAAGTTTGATTAAACACTAAAGTGAAAGACAAAAATAAGGAAGGTGGAAATGAAAATGAGGAGGTCAAAAAAGCTGTGATTAGAAAACTGAGAATCCAGGCTTTAGAAGGCCTTGAACTGGTCTTGACACTAGTGAAGTCTAACTGGGAGTATGAGTGACATCCTTTGTGGATAACTATGCTCAACTGTATCAACCTGCATATATACATATATACATGCATATATATATGTATGTATATGTATAGATACATATATGTGTATACACATATATACATATATATACATATGAAATGATCTGCTGTATATATACATACATATATGTATATATACAGCAGATCATTTCAAAATAGTGCCGAGAAAACCCATATCTTCTTTTTATACGGCTAAATATAAAACGCTCCAAAGTGATATTCTCTGGTTCCCCATAGCCTCTGGAAAGAAATCTACCTCAGTTAATTTGAAAGTCAAGCTCTGTCTTATGTGATACAAAACTATCTTCCAGCTTTTACTCTTCCCAATTCAAACCTTGTTTAAGCCAGGTGACATCTCTCAATGAGGTAGCAAAGTGTCTCAAGTATCTGCTAGGATCATTTCTACCTTTTTATTCCCCTGGTCTTGACATTCCCCTCAACCTAAAATGTTCCTTATTTTATTATGTAACTATCCATATCTAAGCCATTTTCCAAGACACCCAGCTTCCTTCTATATGAAAAGCATCTCTGATGACCATTTAGCCCATTCATTCATTCATTCATTCGTTCGTTCGTTCGTTCGTTCGTTCGTTCATTCGTACACTTTCAGACCCAGCTATTATACAGATTTAGCTGTTGATATTTGTTAAGCAATGTAATGATGTAAATTGCTAAGCAATATAATGATGTAAATCATCTACTTAATTTTGGGGGCATTTACAGACTAACACAAATAAGTCATGCACAAAAGTGGGAGATAAGGATCACTGTTACTAAACAAGCGTTGTAGAGATAAATTGTTTGATAAGACATATTAATTTTTGAGGAAGACATATTAATTCCTCTGGTGGGAAATTGGAAAGGCTTAGCCTCAAATTCTGAGCAGGGCCTAAAGACAAAGAAAAAGGACGTTTTAAGCAGGGAAAACAGAGCAACAAGCCCGGAAAGGGGCCTGCTTGCAAAGGATTTTGATTGGCTCTATTGAAGGATGGATGCACTTGGGGAAGGAGGTGTGGCTTGAGGAACCCCATGATGATCCACTGAGTTCTGATGTCTTTGTAGTCTTTATAGACTACTTCATGTACATTTTACTGAAGTTTCATGTGTCATACTATTTCTGTCTTCTCATTTATTCGTGTCTTACTGTTAAAATTTTGCCAACAGCAGGAGATGCAGTATAATTCCTATCTTTGGCTTTCTACCTCATTAAATTCAGTAGTACACTGTTCTTGACAGAAGAGTGCTTAAATGCTGTTAGCTTAAAATCTGTACAGTGCTCTGAGTGCCTTCCACATCTTAGGTGGAACTGAGACGATACGATACCCAGGGCTGGAGAACACAGCTTCTTAAACTGTGGCTTGCAACCTCACCCATGGTCATACGGTGGAATGTAGGATTATGAAAAATTTAGCAACAACCATAACCAAGAAGATTTCTGAAAAACCGGCCAACAATCAATCCAAAATTCAAATGTGTAACGAGGTCAGGGTGTTTTTGTCTGTGATTAACCGTGTTGCACCACAAGGCTTCCACGCAGCCTTGGTTGTGAGCACACAGTGTGTGCACAGCTGCTCACGTAGGGAACACTGCCCAGGATGCTTGGCTCTTACTGGAGACAGCTGTAATCGATGACGCACAGTGCTGTGCCTTACACATGGGAAGTTTCTGATCTTACAGAAATGCAATGATTTAGTATAGAAAACAAAGACTTGCAATATTTTTATACTATCATCCCTAAATACGTCAAATTCCTCCAGCTTTGAATTGTGCTGTGTTTGGATGCCTGACTTTAAAATTGCTGTTTGAGGTGTTAACATGAATTCTATATATGAAATAAAACTTAAATGCATTTTGGCTAAGGATCAGAGCAGAATTTATTACAGTTTCTGAAATATCCCTCCCTAAACATGCTTCTTCCCCGTTGTAGGACACATTTACACAAAGTGACATCAGAATTGATAATTATGATTTTCCCCATTTTATTTATTCTTTTAGTATTTATTGCATGAATGTATAGCATTTTGATCGTATTTACCTCCCCACTCACCTCTTCCAACTTTTTCTGGATACTCCTGAGACTGCTTCCCAACTTCATGTATTCTTTAAATTTTTTTTTCCCTTTTATAATCCACGGAGTCCAACTAGTGCGTAGGTCTGGGGCCACCACCTGGAGCCAGTCCACCAGGGCCCACACCCCTAAAGAAAACCAACTCCCCCTCTCCTAGCAGCCATTGACTTTTGATAGCTCCTCAGCTAGGAGCAGGTCTGGTGTGTCCCTCACCCACTGATGCTAGAATGTTGACTGGCTTGATCTTGGGCATGCCTTACGCCAGGAAGCACAGCTCTTGGGACTTTACAGGTGCAAAGGTGTTGTCAGTAAATGTCTACCTATAGCACATCCTTAGACATGAGTAGATGAATAGATTTTGGAGGGACATTGAAGATCCAAACTATAGAAGAGTTAAAGAGAGCGATGCAACCAATAGCATGAGAAATGTAAGGACCCAAATAAAGGCCCTGAATGTAGAAACTCGGGAGAGGAACGGATGGACTTTAGGGACGTTAATGAGAATAGTGATTGAGGAAATCTGGGTTGACTCCATGATTGGCCAAAGTGACCAGGGTCGTTCATGGGACTGTGACTCTATTGCCTTCTTCCATGGGTCCAGTTGGCAACATTACTAGTTAAGAAGGGGAGACAACATAAAGAAATTTTATCCCTGTGATGTGGAATAAGTATAGGGCAAGAAGAGATCTGGGGGCCAGACTGTGCCTGAGCTATGCACTGGGTTTTGCGTGAGTGCACACTTTTCACCCAGTCCTCTCCTTTTCCCTTGTGTGCCTTCTGGGACCCTTACGACAATCAGGAAGCAGGGAAGGAGGAAGCTTGTAAGCTGTGACTGGTGCTACTGATAGTCTTTGATCTTATGTGAAACCGCCAAGCTCCTGCAGCAGATGGGATGTGTGGCTTGGAGATGCCAGCCCCGTAACCACTATCCCAGCCTCCTGACTCTAGACCTAGCCCGGTTCATTGGCAAAGATGAATGTCCTGTCTTCTCTGTTCCCAGGTTTCCACCTTTACCACAAGCTACCCCACCTCATGCCAGAGAGCTGCCTCCTCATCATCGTGGGCGCGCTGGTGGGTAGCATCATCTTCGGCACCCATCACAAATCGCCTCCCGTCATGGATTCGAGCATTTACTTCCTGTACCTCCTTCCGCCCATCGTTCTCGAGAGCGGCTACTTCATGCCCACGAGGCCCTTCTTTGAGAACATCGGCTCCATCCTGTGGTGGGCGGGTCTGGGGGCCCTGATCAATGCCTTTGGCATTGGTCTCTCCCTCTACTTCATCTGCCAGATCAAGGCCTTCGGCCTTGGTGACATCAACCTGCTGCAGAATCTGCTGTTTGGCAGCCTGATCTCGGCGGTGGATCCTGTGGCGGTGCTGGCTGTGTTTGAGGAGGCGCGTGTGAATGAGCAGCTTTACATGATGATCTTTGGGGAGGCCCTGCTCAATGATGGAATCAGTGTGGTGAGTCCCCCAGATCGTGTTCCCGGAGGGGTGGAGCTGGGCTGGCCACAGAGGTCGGGGCTGCTTCGGCTCTCCATGTCATGGTTGTGGCCCGAATTCTGGTAACATTCAGAACAATCCACTTTGTGTATCTAACTTCTCATTAGTTGATTTAAAGAGAGGAAAGGAATAAAAAACACGTAATTCAAACTTACATTTTAATTCAAGGATTTTTTTTTTTTATTTAGCATGGAGAAACTATTATTTATAGCCATTCTGGGTACTCAAGGTTATCAAGACAGTACCTTTGTTTCTAATATATGTCTCTATACATATTAAGGATACATACACATACACATACACACACATTCACACGTATATACATATATATCATGAGACATTAGATGAAGTTAAATTAAATTCCTCTGGCCATTGAGACATGACAGAGCAATTGTAGAAATAAATCAGCTTGTATGGTGCTCAGTCACATGTCACATGGAAAATGCTTAGAAATTCTCTAGAGAGAAGCAGAGGAGGATGAGTAGGCTAGAAAGAGCAAGGCTTAGCACCAAGCCCCAGGAAATGTTCACAGCCTGGGTTGTTGTAATATTCACCACAAGTCATGCTCAGTGATCAGTTGCACTAAAAACTACAGCATTTGCCAGCTGTTGGCCTATAAGAGGTGTGTACACCCTTTAATGGCCTTTCATTACTTAAAACTTACATTCCTGCACATAAGCAACACTAGAATACATTTCATTGTAAAGGAGCCAGATAGCACAGAGGTATGAGTCATAAACAGAAGCTTCCATTGCCTTCTTTCTCACTATTCTTTATGCAAAGAGCAAGCCCTTGAACTCATTTGCGCCTTTCTCTCCCTGTCTTCACTGTGTGCATTCACACACCTGCACAGCTGCAGATGCACCGTGTTTTGACAAACACTGAGGGATCATACCATATCTGTGGCTTAGCTGTAGCCACTTCAGGTCCTCCCACGTCTCCTCAGCGGTTACACATTATTTTGTAGATTAAGTTAATGCAATTTGTTTCACAATTTCCTCCATGGGTGGTTATTTCAGTGGTTTCTAATTTTTTTTTTTTTTATAAATAATGTTACAATAAACTATGCTTTCTTTTTTCTTCCTGGACCTGTTTTTGCATTTAAAAACAATATTTTGTTAGTAATGAAATGTCCAGGTAAAGCAATATATAGATTTAAAACTTGATACATGGGGCTATTTTAATCATTACTGGTTCACCCCATTGGTAAAGAAGAGGTTATCATCCTAGAGTTGTAGGGAATGAGCAAAGACATGATACCTGTGTCTTAGTTTCTTTTCTCTTGCTGTGACAATAGAACACCAAGACCAAGGGTATGTCGAAAAGAAAGTGTTTAATGGGGGCTGGAGTCCATGACGGCAGAGCAAAGGAAGCTGAGAGCTCACATCTTGATCCTCAAGAGGGAGACAGAGAAAATACTGAAAATGGTGCGAGTCTTTTGAGATCCCAAGGCCAACATCCAGTGACACACTTCCTCCACCAAGACCACACCTCTTAATCCTCCCCAAACTGTTCCACCAACTGGGGACCAAGCATTCCAACACATGACCAACCCTATGGGGGCCATTCTCATCCAAACCAATACAACCTGAAACCGTACAGATGGCTCCAGCAGCAGGTCATTAGAACGTGTAAACACAGTTCAGAGGAGTGGGACATCAAATAACACCCAAACCATGTGGCGTGACCTAGAAAAAGAAAACACCAGCAGGGATTGAAGGGGTAGGCATGAGGCTTAGAGATTGAAGGGAGCAGGGTGGGGGATTGAAGAGGGCAGGCAGGAGGCTGGAGCAACCTTGGTCCTCAATGATGCTTTTGAATTGTGTGGAGAATTTTGCGGACTAGAAAGGGTAAGCAGGAGCACTGCCTGGTCATTTTGCTCAGGAGAATTATCTGGCTGGGGCTATTAAACCTAGAGCAATGGGGCTAAGAGGAATTTGCAGCTTGGCTGGGCACCTTTGAATTTTTCCAAATGCCAAGGTAACTCATGACATTGAACTTGGGTGACCTCAGCTGCTAAGCTTTTCCAGAAAGTCTTTATCGGCTCTTGCTTCTACAGATAGAGTTGACTTCTTTAATGTGCCCAGAACATTCGGTCTCTTTATCAGGCGCATAATCATGTGATATGCAGAAATTCTTGCTGAGAAATCATCTGTATTCATTACCAAAGCAAGTTCTTGCCTGCTGCTGCTGAGCGAGGATCAGCTCTCACCCTGAGGTTTCTCTTTAACAGTTTGTCTAGAGCAAACCCTATCGTGGTTTCCGGTGCCTATTCCATCACTGGTGACATTTGTTTGACTTTCTCAAGGCTAAATTGTGTCCATGGAGATGTTTCTAAAGAATGATCATTTCAAAATAAGATTGTAATTGCTGAGAGACTCTATCGTCTGCTGAGGGTGCTGCTGTGACCTCTGTTGGGCACCACTGCTGTTATATTGGCTCCGGTGAGGTTGCCCACATGTTCATCTTTGGTATCCCGCAGCACAGTGAGTATTAAGTGTGTGCTGGGACACCACTGGGTCCCTAAGTGAAACCAGAGAAGCCCAGGGCCAGATTTAGAAAGCAGCTGAAAGCAACTGGTACTTTCTGCCGTCCAATGGTATTTTGAGCTGAGGGCTTTGAGCTCACCCTTTCATTGAGCAAAGAGCCTGCCCAAGGGCAGCAGTCACAACCCCGCAGAAGGTCTGAGTCACCCAGAGGTGGCCTGTGGTTGAGGGTTACATGTGATGACAGTATAGATCTTACTTCTAGAACTGTTGAAATATCCATGAATCTGATTCAAGATTGAACCAAATCAAGGGTTCAGTTTGTGATTTCTCATTTATTCCTTCATTTTGCTGAATTTTCAGGTTATGGTATTGATAACTAGAACAGACCCTCAGTGGCTGACAAACAGGGCAGAAAGACAAGCCCTACCAAGTACTGCAATCTGCACTGGAACTCTGTGGAAAGGTAGAGAGAGAGAGAGAGAGAGAGAGAGAGAGACAGAGAGAGACAGAGAGAGAGAGAGAGAGAGAGAGAGAGAGAGAGAGAGAGAGAGAGGAGGTAATTATTCTACAACAATTATTTCTACAGGATGTGCACATTAAAGATTTATAGATATTGTGTGACTTGAATATCTATAACTTTCTTTTTAAAAATAAAATATATTTCTAATATTACTAAAAAAAAAATACCCTAAGATTACCTACATCCTCAGTGGAATCTCCTAGTTAAGATCCTAGAAGAAGGCAGAGACAGAGCTACCCATTCCTGGACCCATGATGGCCAGCTTTGCATTTACCACCTCATTAAATGCATGGATTTTATTATGAGGTGTGAAAGATACCCTCCATTCAAAAAATAAGAAAACCAGGCACAGCAAGTTAAAATCCTCTGGGTTATAGAGCAGACCTAGGTGCCCTGTTCTATTCCTTCCATTCCCTTTCCATTTTCTTCTTTCCTTTTGAAATTTCAACTCTGAACTGTAAAGGGGAGGAGAAAAACTTACCTATTCATGATTGGACTGGTCTTTAGCTCAGTGGCACAGCTGATCTTTCTCTTGTATAGAAATGGCAGACTTCATGGTTGCCACACAAGGCTTTAGGCAAGACTGTTCACTCATGTCTCTTCTTGCTGTAGAACTGGAATAAAGACATTCTTTGGCTCACAGGGTCCATGGAAAATTCATATTCAGCTTTAAGTACAGTAAGTTCCTGGACTGGAAAGGGCACTGAGTGGTTCCTATGTGTGTATCTGTGACTTTCACATCAGCTCATGAGCACTTCTGGATCAACATACCCGGACAGCTGATTTTAAATATGCCTCACTCCATGACTGTAGAATAGATGTTTTCCTATCTCTATGTATGTACGTATCTATCTATCTATCTATCTATCTATCTATCTATCTATCTATCTATCTATCTATCCATCCATCCAACCAGTTGCCATACATCAACTTGCTGGATAAGCAACAGGTAATTCCATTCACATTTCTATCCACCCACCCCATCTCTCCTCATCTCTTACTTACTCTACATCCTCTGGAAGGATAAAGTTCCACGGGAGCAGGGCTGAGACTGGAACCCAGGCAATCTTCCTCTGTTTTCTCTGGACCACCTCACCACACCGTTTTGTCCACCTAACCCTCTCCTTCTGCTGCCTTTCCCCTGTGTTCCCATGCCCTCTCCAGGCATATCCCTAGGGCATCTTCTAGGAATGCCACTGCAGAGGGAGATGACCTACACTTGCCAAGCATCAGTCTTAACCAACTTTACCAATGAGTGCTTTATCAGATTTTTCCCATTCAAGCCTCATAGAACCTCACGAGGTGGAGAATCTTGTCTCACTTCATGAAGTGGTAGTCTGTAGTCGTTGAGGGTAGGGTGCCCCTAGGCCCAACCACTGAGGTCCATGGACCCATTCTGGTCATTCTTTTCAATATGTATACAAATTTCTTCATTGTCATTTATGACATGAAGACAGAATCCCAATGAAATCAAGCACATATTTACTGAATAGAATCTAGTTTGTGCAGTATAATATCCAGAAGACAGAGTGGCCATCTTCTTGCTCTGATCAGCCAGCCATTCCCTTTAGCTGAGGCAATCAGTGGAAATTTGTACTAGTGACCCTTGGCTTCTCTTTAAGTCTGTCATTTGATCCTCTCTGTGTACACATTCTATTGCTAGCACTAGATCCTCAATTCTCTGACCCCCATCTAGAGTTTGATGCCCCCCTTTTTTCCCTCATGTATTCCATAGTCCTTGCTTTGCTGAAGGGATTCCTGAGGCCCTCTTGATTGCTATTCCAACTAATTCTTTTGGCATCCATAAGACTCATCATCTAGTTTGGAGCAAGCAAAGGGTTCTCAAGTGTTCATCCTTTTAACATTACCATGGCGGAAGAGCAGTAACGTTCAGTAGACACTGGTTTTGAATGTGGGCCTTAAGGGGCTGGTGCAGTGTGCTACAGTCATGT